ATAAAGCTTGGTAGGACTAAAGCTGGATTTCCTATTAATTTCTACTTTAGAAATTTTTTTAGCTTTGTGTAACTTTTCTCTTCATCATAACATCGTGCATTTAATCATCATATATCATCATCATGCATTTAATTTTCATAACATCATTTATTTAATGTACCTTTAAAAGCTAATTAATTAATTCTGACAAGTATTTTGCTTGAGAGATGCTCTCATGGAAGGATAATTACTAAATGATATTTGTCTCATATATGCTTTTCCAGTTAGAAAATACATGAAAGGCCAAGCCAGCCATGGACCTGCCTGAGATCAGCTTACAAATGTTTTGTGGCTTTAACTATGCAGCTAGGTATTAGAGATACATGTTTAGCAAAAATCTTAATCTTTATAATATAATGTATCATAAATACTCTATGCCTACATAAATATATCTCACAGAACATTTGCTTAGGTACAGCTAGGATAACTTGATGTTATTTTGCATAGATTTTTAGTCAAAGTTATCTCTGAAGTAACATGCTATAGCTTTGTTTGGAGATATAGAATCTTGTTAAACAAACTCGGGCAAAATTTATGTTTGAACTATAATGCCTATAATGGTAACACACAGCCTATAATGGTAAACTGGTCACGTTTTCGACGTTCATATTACTAAACAGAAATTCAAAACACCAGCTGTCATATTTTGGCGTGAAATGATCTTTTTTCTTTTCTTTTTTTCTAAATGCATAATTATTAAATTCTTCGTTCGGCTATGTATTTATAATGTACTGATGGAAAATTAAATCTCAACGCCAAGTAGTTGTGTATTCATATTGCAAAGATGATTCTATTCCTATTGCATGCTAGAGGAATTGAGTGTGACGTTAGTAGCCCGGCGTCCACCGAACACATCGCGGACAGAAACGTCTTGGCGAAAACAACGCAAGTCAGAAACGTTGTCGAACAAAACATCGTGGGAGAAAAGAAAGCAAGGAGAGCGAAAAAAAGCTCTAAAACTTCCAGATAGAAAATAAAGGGCTACAGAACTTCGCAGTTTAGAAACATCGTCGTCGAAAATACCGTGGTAAAATATAAAGCACTTACAAATCATAGCATGAGGATAACATCGCAGACATGCGTGTTTCAGGATTTGAAAGATGTAACTGCATTTTCACATTATGATTTATGAAAGCAAGAAATGATGAGGAATATTTTTAAATTCTAGTCTTTTTCCAATGGCCAAATTCTAATCTTTCCCCAATGACCAATATTAAAGCGAATTAGTTTCCTGCTGAACCGGCCAGCAGCAGTGACCGAGCGGTAAATTTCCTAAACACTCGATTCAAAGAATGAGCTGGCTGCGTGAGATTTTTGTGTTTTTCTAATGCAAAACATCGATAAAAGTCAGTTCCTGAGAAAGTCCTCAAAACTCAGGTTCCTCAAAGGTTCTTATGCAGGTACAGCTAATGTGCTTTGCCACAATTCAATAAATCCAAATTCCCTACCAAAATATTACTCAGCTGATATGTTCATCATAACTAACAAATTAGCATCCAAACAATCAACTGCATACTGTACATGAGAATGTTAATGATACATTAAGAGCATGAATTAAAAAAAAAAGATTTAGTTTTCGTTAAAAAATATCAGATTGATAAAGCTGAAAGAGACACTTTTAATGGAAGCAACCTCAAGCAGTTACTCATCTTCTTTGTCCTAATCTTTCTTTAGATTATATTTTTCATAAAAGATACCAATAAAACTTTAAAAAAGAGTCTAATTGATTAATGACCTATATTATTTAATTGCGTAAGCTTAAAATTCCATTAATTATTATAAGTAGATTTAATTTTCTATACATTTTCACTTTTTGAATTTTAAGTTTCCTTCTTAATTTGTCATTAAATATATTAGTGAATTCAAAAATATGTCTGTGATGCTATCATCATGCTATTATTTGTAGGTGCTTTATATTTTATCTTGATATTTCCGGCGACGGTGTTTTTAAACTGCAAAGTTTTTGAGCCGCTTTATTTTAAACGGCAATGTTTTAGAACTGCGATTTTTTCTCCTTTCTATTCTGTCTCGATGGCTTGTCCAACGACGTTTTCGCCTTTCCGTTGTTTTCTCCGCCCGATGTTTTCGCCTGTAACTAGTGGCCTACTATGAACATGCAGATCACGCTTGTTTTAAATATACGATATTAACTTCATACGCTTTATCTATTTTCCGGATTGCTAGTGAGACCTGAATCAAGAATGCATTTAAAAAGTGGTGGGTTTTTTTTTTTTTTTTTTTTTTTAAATATACAGCGAAAAGACTTTGCAGAAATGTATTTAATGCGCTTGCTCGTTGACAGCAGTGGTGACGGTAAGATACTGTCTCAAGAAGACCGGAATCCTGTCGCACACGTGTCCCCTTTCAAATGGAAGATCACTGATTTTGCAGCATGTAGTTTATCACACTACATCTGCAGCAGATATTCGAGCTTTAGTTGCTACTAAAGTGACACAGTGAACTGTAACAAATCGATTACTTGAGAGACACGTCTGAGCCAAACGTCTGATAATTATGGGATGTTTAGCATTGAATGATAAGTCAGAATTTTGCAGCAGACCTCCCACCTTAAAACACCATGGTGCTACTTTGGTAGACGGTGCGCGGATATTTGGCGATTTACATTGGCGCAATTGTTGGCGCGGTTTTTACAGTCGTCAGCCATCTTGAAAAATGCTGTTTTTACGTATTTTACGCATATAGTAAAGTATTCGAAACTTAAAAAAAAAATAAGTATCGTTAAAAATAATGGATTAATTTTTGTTGAAAACGTTGTTTTTTAAGATGGCTGGCAAATGTAAATAAATACATTTACCAAGACTATAAAATGCTAAAGTAAGGTTAAATTATTACTTTCATATAATAGAATAAAAATACCGCTATAAAAACATTGCGCAACATTTAATTGGATTAAAATATTACTTAAATTGGATATCGAATTAAAAACATCATACCAACTACTTTAAAATAAGTTTTATAGGATTTAATTATTTAACATTAAAACATATGCGGCAATAAATATCTCAGGAATTTTTGAAAATATTGTATTAATTTTTTAATAAAAATTGAAGTATACAATTATGAAGTAAAAGGAAATTATGTACTTACATTTTTTAACCTGTCGTATATTAATAAGACTGATGTTTTAAACCTGCTACCTTACGGCAAAAGCAGGGATTATTAGAACCTTTCAAACTTTTATGTAACCACCATACCGTACTCGTACTCTAAGGGAAGATTTACTGACCTCATCAGCAAATATCTTTATTAAACAAAACATTTTTACAAAACAGAATAAATTACATCAATTACAATTTCTCTTTTTATATACAAATAATACAAAGAAATAATTCATACATAACAATTCATCTTGAATTTACTTAAATTAATATCCATAAAATAAACATAAAATAATTTACAATAGATTATTTGTACACTTATTATTTCTTCTAATACAACAATAATAAATAAGTTACAGTGATTGCTCAAATATAACATTTTCAAACTCAGTAATAATTTTCATAATTTCTATTATTCCTTTTTTAAATTTTTCAACTTGAAATATTTTTACAATATCTTTTTCTTTATTCAAACATGGTAAGAATTTTAACCACTTATTTTTCAACAAATCACATAAAATTACATGCTCAACATCAGCTTCTGGTTCACCGCATAGACACTTCAAATATTTAATATTAAATCTACTATAATACAAGGGTACATGTGCATGATTTGTTAAAAATTGGGCCAAAAACCCATTACCAATACACCTCTTTTTATTAACTTTTTTAAAGAATCTATAGGTATACCTTCCTTTTGAATCTTTATCCCAGAAGTCCTGCCAAAAATCAATTATACTGTTCTTTAAAACATTTTTAAAAGTTTCTAAAGAAGTAGGAAGAAAAATGTCAATCGAGTTCTTCAGCGTGGCTTGTTTAGCACAAATGTCAGCTAATTCGTTCCTTCGTGTCCAATATGACCTTTAATCTAAAGAAGATTGACATTTCTTTTCTTTAAATTTTTATCAAAAGAACATGAGTATCATAAACCAGTTTAGTAGATGATTTACCAGAAACTATAGCAAGTAATGCACTTTGGCTATCCGAATATAAATCAACATCATTTTTTGTATCTTTTCCCAAAATCCATTCCAAAGATTTAAAAATGGCAAAGACTTCTGCCTGAAACACTGTTGAGTTATCACTTAATCTAAACTTTTTAATAAATCCAATTTCACCATTTGAATAAGCTACAAAAGAGCAGCCAACTTTTTCCCCTATCTTTGAGCCGTCAGTAAAAATTTCGTGTCCTTCATGAGTAGGGAACTTCTTGTCCCAATAATAATCAGTAAGTAAAGCAGGATGAACTTCATTAACTATTTTACAAATTTCAATATTTGAAGAATCCACTTGTAAATCATAAATTTGATCAGAACTTCTGCCATGCTTTAAATGAAATAAAATACAATCTCTTTGAGCAATCAAATAGATTGGCTCGCAAGCACTTAAAGTAAACAAACTGGCATTAGAAACTGTTCTGAAACACTTAGTGATACTTAACATAGCAAGCCTTTGAATTTGAATTAACAAATTATTAACTCTAACATTATTTTTATACCATGCAGCACACGAATATAAAATTTTTCTTTCAATCCCTCTCTTATAATAAATTTTCTTTTTATCACTATTAAGACCTTTTATTGCATATAATTTATTCAAAATAATAGAGCACTGTAACTTTATCTTTTTCAAATGAGGAATGAAAGTAAGTTGATCATCTATTAAAATGCCGAGATAATTTAATTCTCGAACACTCTTTAAAGAAAACCCGTCAATGTGTCCTCTCGGAAGAGTAATATTTTACCTCTTTTAGCTATGCCCATAATAGCACATTTTTTATAATCGAAATTCAATTTAACTTGTTTTGACCAATTACTAATCAGATCCAATGTATGATCTATATCAGCATCCACTTCCACTTGCTAACACAATAATAATTATATCATCCGCATAAGCTTGCACCTTTACGTTGTCCTTAAACGGTAATTCAAGCATTGAATCACATAAAATATTCCATAATAAAGGTCCTGCATTAGAACCTTGAGGACAACCTCTGCCATAAAATCTTTTAATACATAGATTACCATCTTGAAAAGAAACAGAACGCTCATAAAGATAATGTTCAAATAACTTAAAAAGATTAAAAGGACATTTAAACTTTTTTAACTGGAACAAAACAAAAGGCCACCAAACACTATTGAATGCACTCTTAACATCCAATGTAACAAGTGCTGTATGCAATTTCAATCTTCTATTTTCTTTTACTTTGTCCAATAAATCAAAAATAGCTAAAGTGGTACTTTTTCCTTCTATAAATCTATATATTAAGATTGATTCAGTATTTTATTTTTATTCATATAAAACCAAAGTCTATTCGTCATTAATTTATCTAAAATTTTGCCAAAAACTGGTAATAAACAAATCGGTCTATATGAAGAGGGATCCATTTTATCTTTTCCCTCTTTATTAAATAAAACTAAGGAAGCATTTTTCCAAATCTTAGGAAAAATACCATGCTTCAAACAAATATTATAAATTTTACAAATGAAACAGGAATCAATTTTTATTATTTCTTCTATTATATCTAGACATAGTGCATCATAACCTGGAGCTTTTCCTTTATTCATTGACCCAACCACATTCAAAATTTCTTCTTCTGTAAACTCTAAATCATTGAAGTCATTTTCATAAGTCCGAAAATTTTGTCTTATTTCTTTATGCCAATCCAAATCATCTTCAATCGAGTCATCCGAAAAATGGAACTTAACCAAGTAATCCAATGTATCTTTTATTGAATTTGTTTCAGAACCATCATCTCTTTTTAACCGACTCAAAGTAAGTGCAGATTTACACTTTCCCACAGTAATTTTATATGGAATACCATGTGGTTGATCCAAGTTAGTTTTCATACATAAATCATCCCACGATTGATTTTTAGCAATATTAATTTCTTTCTTATAAATTCCTCTTATTCTCTTATATTTATCCTCCAAAAACAATTTATCTTCCAAATTAAAGGCACAGAGAAATTTTCTTCTTGCAATCCTGACTTTAGACCTCCAAAGATCCAATTTCTTAGTCCACCAAACAGAGGACCCTTTTGCTTTAAACTTCTTTTTGATTTTATTCTTTTCACAAATATTTACAATTTCATCAGTAAATCTTTCAACTATTTCTTCCAAATTTTTTTCATCAATTTTTAATTCGTTATATTGCAACAAAAGAGCCGAAGCATCTCTTTTAAAATCAATCCAATTTAAGTTTTTTAATGAAAACCTCTTTCTCATCACAAGAGAATAATCTTTCTCACCAAGATCAATTTCTATATAGTTATGATCACTGCAAGAAATATCTGTGATAACTTTCCAATCAATATTTATGGAAGTATGCACAAGAGTAAGATCAATCCAGGAAGAACCTCTTGCCCCTTCAAAAGTAGGAGGAGAATCTGGATTATTCAAGATACAAATCCCATGTGAATTAATAAATTCCAAAACTTGTTTTCCTCTAATATCTTTCTCTTGATCACCCCAGACTTCACTTCTAGCATTAAAGTCTGCGCCAATTACAAAATCATTGCATAGATCTTTATTCAGAACTCTTGAAATTTCATTCAAGCAGAAAATCAAATCAGCTTTAGGAGGACAATAAGCAGAAATCAACAACATATCTTGATCTCCAAAGTTTATTTTCAGAACAACCAAAATATTTCAAATTAAAATTTCAATCACAGAAATTGTCTTATCAAATATAACTATTCCTGCTAACGGAATATCATTGTCATCAAAATAAAGTCTAAATTGAGATGAAAAACCCTTAACTTTATTTTTAATATGATAAGGCTCTTGTACTAAAGCAAATGAATAATTTTGTTCTAATGTTCTTTGTTGGAGTTGAGACACTGCGGCACGAGCGTGGTGAAGATTAATTTGAACTCCTCTGATTTTTGTTGAGGAACTAAAAACCATAATTTGTCCTCCTCTGATTAGTAGATCAAATTGTCTCTTCAAATATGAACAATCTTTATCCAAAGCTAGAATGCCGCACGTCTAAGCCCCATTTTATACTTACTATTCGCATTAGTACAATTTATACACACTGGACTGTTTTTACAGCCCCAGTGATCATGTCCTTTCTGTGCACAATTAGCACATATTAGATCTTTAGTACATCTTTTGTGAAAATGCCCAAATTCCTGACATTTGTAGCATCTCACTACGTTCAAATATTCTTTAACATTAACCGAAAACAATTAAATTACCATAATACGAAATCAATTAAAATTAATCTTTCCTTGATTAATTACATTTCTAAATTTTTAAGGTTGGATTTCAACCACCCAATGAACCTTATTATTCTTTCCTTTTATTTGAAATAGTGGATTAAAACCACCATCTTCAAATATAGAATTCTGTTTAATAACAGCTTCTTGTAATTCCTCTTTTCCAACTTTCCAAATCAATATTATATAATATAATTTTCGGATTTTTCTTAATCGGAGCTCTGACTTCTATATCCTCTTTTAACAATTCATTTGTTTTAATTTCCTCTTCTAGTTTATCAATTTCTTCATGATTTAAACATTCAATGACAATTCCACCATTATTTATTTTTCTGACATTTCTAATCCCTATTTTTAACTTTACAGGGTCAATAGCTTCAACAACTTTCATCTTTACTTCCTCTGAAGACACTCCTCTCATTTTAGGATAAATAAGTGCCACATGTTCATCTTTCTTCTTAATTTTATCTTTCTTTGATATAAGTTTTTTCTCCATTTTTTGTTCTCTAATAATATCTGCAAATGACTTTTCCTCTATTTGTGGTTTTTGAACCACATGCAATTTTCCTTTTAAATTTTCTATTTCTAACGCTTGAGAAACAATTAAATAGCGCTTCTTGCGCTTTAAAAACTTTCTTTCTTAGAGGAACTGTTACTCTAGTTGCCTCTTCCAAACAAGTTTCAATATGACTAATTAGTGATCTAGCTTCCTCTATCAGTTCATTTTGAGGAACAGTCACTGTCTGTACATCTTTATCCATTTTTGATCTAAATCAATTGGGACCCTGGGGTTTCCCCAATTAAATTTCTTTGGAGTTTGGATTTCGACCTCCCCCCTTAGGAGGAGGAGCCCTCAGACCACGACAAGGTACCAAACTCCTGGGAAGTTTTTCCTATTGGCTTTTCCAAAATAAACTTTATCAAAGATAAATCACTTTTTCAATTTTCACACTCAATCACAAATTATAAGCCAATAACTTCCCCTGAGGGGTATATTAATAAGTACCACAAAAAAAAAGAAAAAAAACCAGTCCGCTAATGATCTTCACCTGTGTGATCCACATTTCTCACACTTCATTGAAGAAGCAATTAGCCAGGTTTTCTCCAAAAATTTAAAATAAATTTCCTTTGACGCTATTAACAATTTATAAATAAATCTTTGATTAGGAAAGCAAGATTGGCCAAAATAAGGTCTCAAACGCAATTTTTTTTATTCCGATACCAATAATTCTTGGTAATTACCAATAACAACATTCATATTCGAAAACGGACACATCCATTCGCTTTGAAATGTGAGGAATTCGAAGAGATGAATAATAAAATTTTAAAATGGCGCGGTAATGCACAAATATTCAGTAACCAATCAGGGAGCTGATTACATCACGCATAGAATTATAATTATTTAAATAATAAATCATAATAAAATCATATTTAAAAAATGCAAAATGAAATTGTATTTTAATATTTAACAGCCATAAATAATGTTTAAAACATTAGATTAAATTTATAGATATTAAAACCAATTACTTTTAAAATATTTTGTGACGTCATTCATTACATCATTCACAACATAAAATTCCATAAAATATCATAAACAATAAAATTTTATTTCAAATAAAAATGCAAAATTATTAAATTATTTTTTATTTTTGAAGTCATAAATAATATTTAAAACACAGAATTTATGCATAATAAAATGTATTATTTTTTAAATAAAATGGCAACAAAGTATGGGTTACCATAAACAACTTGTCTAGCTATGGGTCTACCATAAGTCGTATCGCTCGCCAAAAAAAATCGCCAAAAAATCGCTAAAATCCGTGCAACCGTCTACCAAAGTAGCACCAACACCATCATCATCTAGAAAAGGAAAAACGTGAGTTTAATAAACTTTTAGGACTTAAAGATGAATTATGTTTTATATCTTTTATATCTTAATCTTTTAAGATCAGCTTCACTTAATTCTGTCATTATTAACATGAATAAAGATTAATAAGCACAAATAACTTCAACAAGGTACTTAAGCAGCAAAAAATATTTCCACTTAATCTTTCTAACGTCATGCAGACGATTCGCAGTACTAGTACTTAAAAGTTCGTTAAATACAGTTCTAAAGCATATAACTACAACGCATTAAATATCATTAAATGCCTCACCTGGGGAACCAAATAGTAGCCTTGAACTAAAAAGCATCAGCTTTGTATAAAAACTTTATTGATATTCTAAAATATAATATGTTTAAGAGAAAAATTGCCTGCAGCACAGTGCGGCTAAGAACGCTATTCTACTGAAAGATAAACATGAACAACTGTTGCCATTCACACAAACTCAATAGTAAAATAATGCATGTTGCCAGTAACAAGATTATTGTAAAAATCATAACATAAAATTAAACAGTGAAAATAAATAAGGCAAAGATAAAAAGAAATTCAAATATTAAATATACATCCAACAACTGCCATCTTCGGTTTCATTGGTGTAAACTAAAGCTCACTAGAGGGTGTAGTGGAGATCTGTTGTGTTCTCAGAGACAGCCGGCTCTCTCTCTCCTCGTGGTGCCTCTGATGGCCATATGTTGGTTAGAAAGAATCAAAGTGAGCGGTTGGATCTAAGCTGCCTGCAGTGCAGACACGCTGAGCCTATATCTGGAGTTACGGTCTGAGAATAATTTCTTATGACTGATGAAGCACTCTTGCTGTTATCCCACACATCTTGGTAGCAAATCTGTACGTCGTAGTAGTAACTGCGTTGGTCGAGCAATTCTTCACACATATTTCAAGAGACGTTTTCAACAGGATAGTCCCCATACCGCTGCTATCATCCAGCGTTCTCTACAGAGTGTCGACATATTGCTTTCGCATGGGAGATCATCCGGTATTTCTCCCATCGAGCATGTGTGGGACATGACTGGAAGACAAATTCTGCATCATTCCAAACCAATATGGACCGTCGCTGATTTGACTAACCAGGAGCAACAGACATGAAACGTCATCCCAAAAAATTACATATGGCATCTCTACGAAATAATGCATGCTTGCTTTTATCATCCTGGTTGCCGCAGTTGTTATTAATGTACCACCATTTCATATTTGAAATATCTGTTCTGGTACATACTTGCGACCTTGAAATATTAATCTAATAAATATACTAGCTACGCAAATCTTTTGCCTGCATTTCATTCCTCTAAACTTATTATTAGGATTGCATTTTCCATTAGTATATATTAAGACAAGCTGTCCATCAGAAACTCGCTGAGCTCATGCAGGCGCTAAAACAACCGCTTAAATTCATCACAGATATTCGTCTGCTGCTTCAAGGCAATATTTAGATCAAATAATGGATGCAATTCCGCATACTAGTCTGAATTAGTACGTATTTCTGCAAAACTTGAACAGCTTCCTGCAAGAAGTTTCAATAATAATTTCAGTTGGTTGTGAACAGGTTGAAAATTTTACAGTTTACACAGAACTGGAGATTGTAAATAACATGTTGGTAGAAATATTTTGATATCTACATTTCTTAGTCGTGATTGTAAATAAATCTGCCCCTTTAACTATCAGAACATACATACTTTTAAATGCTAAATCTCAATTAGAATATTTCGCTAATTTTGGTTTTATATCGTATTTTTAAAGCAATATAAAAGAAAATATATATACGTAAATTTAATGAAATAAGATAACTAAAATAATTAATATAAAATTAATTAATTTTTAAATGAAAATAGCTCAGTTTATCTGCAAATGTTCTGCACTTTTCTATCTTACATACACTATAAGTGAAGTACGAAGGCATATTTAAAGTGGCGGTGTTTCTCGTACAAGTTTTCTTTTGTTGCCACAGTAACGGGATGAAAAAAAAAAAGGATTAGTTCTGTTAGCATAGCTAGTAACACTTTGACTTAACTTTCTAATTTGACGCAGTTTATTATTTTTTGCAAGCTATAATTATTACAGCTTTCTTTTCACAGTTAAAATTTGAATTTTCGTTTATTCCGAAAAGATTATCTAATTCAGCAGTTTCAGTAGGATCATCAACGCGAAAGCGTATTTGATACTTGACTTCTATAGCAGCTTTGGCACAATTCGGGTTTAATGTGCGATTTCAAAATTAGGCAAAACAATAACCTTATATTAACGCTTTTAATAACCTTATGTTAAGAGCTTTGAACGCTATAAAAATTGAAATTTTCCAGATAACGGAATTTGTGAAGAAATATGGAGAAGGATAACAAAAGAAGATGACATAACAGAAGTTTTCTACTGCAATGATAATGCCCAATCAGTGATCAATTTGTCGTATAGTTTTAAATCGAGAAAATATCGCTACCGTTAGTGAAGAAAGTGAACATAATTAGATTTCTAAATGTAATATATGAACAAAATA